CAACGGGGCTTATTCTCTTTAACCAATTAAGGCTTCAAATGCAGCCGTAACAGTACCAAGCAGTGGTCAGACTCATCTGTTTTCAACCCACTTTTTAAAAATGTGGGTAAGAAGCTCTAAAATGACGGAATCTAATTAACCAAATTCTCCTTTTTCGCCACAAACGTCCTGTTAAATTGGACATAAGATGTAAAGGAACGTTTATTTTCTGTCCTTTTAAAGGTTAAGATGTGTTCATGAAACACTCGACCAAGTTAATGTGTATTTGACATTTGCAATGCAGATTTGGGAGGGTTAAAGATGTTCAGAAAAGCCCACAGCTGAAGCGTTATCAGCAAATCACACGGCAAAAAGGGTTCTGCGTTTATTGGGATCCACGTGAATTATGATTTCCTGTTCATTCAACTTGTATTTCATTCAAAAAGAAAGATAATTAATTGAACAACTGACAAGTTAATATGGGAAAAAAATGAGAAAACGATTGGCTGGAGGTGAAAATAGTCACATTGGAGCTAAATGACAAAAGCCACCTGAGCAAAACAAATTCAATTAACCGGCTCAGCATGAGCCCAGGGGCTAAAAATAGGAATAAGACTGTCAGCTCCCATTAGTGTGAAGAAAATGATAGAGGGTGAATTCAGCAGGTCAAGCACCTGCACGATTTCTCAAAAAATAAAAAAAAGATCCATGTCTTTTGGGGGAAGGGCTTTATCTTATGTTGCAGCCTGCAATGAAAATGACCAAAAAAAGAAAGGAAAGAGGCGTTTTGTGGCAGTAAAATGTTCCACTGTCACCAAGGGTGTGCTCAAAGGGAAATATGGGTTTGTCTCAATGTAAAGAGCCCCAAATGTGTTATATGGAGAAAGAAAATGAGTGGTAGAAGCTGAAAATAATCCAAAAGTTGCAAGATTTAACATCTTTAACTAACATCCTAATGACTTTTTTTTTTAGGTGTTAATCTAAATGTTAAGATGATGTTAGCCTGCTAATATCAAGCTAGTGTTTGTCAGCAGTGTGATGAATTACTGGTGAGTGAAGAAGCTAATGTATTATCTTTTTAAATGATTAGGGGAAAAATGGAAGGAATAATTTCCTCCGGGTCATACGAACAGTTATCTTAGCTTTAGCTTAGCCCTCGGCTCCACAGTTTGTCAACACACACGCACTAAAAGTGAAATTGTAATGTATTTGAACCCTTAACCCCGATACCTTTTGCATGAAGCACACAAAAATGACAAATTGTGTTCAGTTATGATTTTTCCCCCTCTTAATTAAAAGCCTTTCTTTTCATTAGGCTTCAGAGGAGGAACAATTACATGTTTACCCAGACTGCAGGGCTCCATTCACATATGATCCGTCCCCTGCACAACCTTCAGATGAGTCCTCACCGGCTGGCTTTTTGAAATGCAAAATGTCCATCTGTCCCCCTCACATGTTCACGCCGCTGCCCATGTGCCTTCCTTTAAATTCTGTTGATCAATGTTGAACCATCTTTGGTTTTGGAGAATGAACACACATCTCTTAGAGGCAGAATTTCTGCAAACCCGGGCTCTATTTGCTAGGATTTGCTGGGAGAAAGGCTCTCCTCTTCCTTACTCAGCTCCCACATCATCCACAAACATGTCACCAGATGACTCATGCACCACATTTTAGAGGAGTGTTACGCCCACATGGCAGTTCCACCTGGCCTTAGTCATGAACAGCTCTTTAATCGTCTTCTAATTCAGGACGGATCTGCATACGCCTAAGAGGTTAGCCTGAATGACTGCTAATCAAGTGGTGCTCTTCCAAAGGGTTAAAAAAAAGAAAAGAAAACAGCTATTTCTACCTCATACTATTTATGCCCGACGGACAAGAAAAGGTCTTTGAAAATGACGGTTATCTGGCCCCTCTTCCAAACCGTTTATCCTTTATTTTTCATGCCATGAAATAATAAGCCAATACTCGGCAAAACTAATTCATTTGCCCACAATTAAAGCACTGCGGGTCCATTCACTGACTAAATCTATTGGGATTCCCGCTGGCATCATCACACACAAAACCCAGATTAGCAACAGTTCCAGCTATTTGGCTGACAATGCCAAAATAATTCCTGATTGTCTCAATGGAATGATGCAGAGCACGCTGTAGTTGTGAACCTACTGATAAAACATTTGTGTGGATGCGTCTTCAAAAGGACGCTAAAGTACTCGTTAACCAGCCCAAACTCTGAATAGATTCATATGGTCAGTTTGCTTCTTCATTCAGCCCATTACTGACCACAAAACTTGAGTCTGCCTCACTTGGAGTTTCTTTTTCCACATAAACTCTCTGCCCAAATACAGATATGCAAGAATTTTAGTCTTAACAAATGTCATTCTGTCTTAAAATCCACAGCCGATTCCTTTAACTGTACCAGTGTTTTTCAACCTTTTTTGAGCCAAGGTAAATTTTTTCATTGAAAAAATCACGAGGCACACCACCAACCAAAAATGTGAAACAAATCTGTATCCGCCTATAGTAACACTACAGTTATTCTTATTTTATTCTTATCTTATCTTAAGTGTCTTGAATAGGAATCAAATAAACAAAAAATGTATTTTTATCATATTTTATATTCTTTCAAATTGCACTTAACATGTCCACTTCAATATATAAAATCATATACAAAATCTAGTCATAAGGAATTATTAAATGATTAAGCCACCAGTCACTAGTACAGCACAGACACTCAAAAATGGAATATTATTTGCAGATAATTAATTCCTTATCAAAAAGTCTTTTTAGACCAATTAGGTGAAATAGGATGAATTTCTACGGCACACCTGACCATCACTCGCTGCACACTAGTGTACCGAGGCACAGTGGTTGAAAAACACTGAACTATACCATACATAGTTTGCTTAAGAGATACTGTCTTTCTGGTTTTCTGGCAGCATTGTAAACACTGTTGTGCTTCAAAAGGGACGATTTGGTACAGTCCCAAAAAACATCTGCCCATCACTAGTCAGTAGACGGAGCATAATAATTTCCCAGAGAGAGAGATCGGATCACATTGTCGTGTCTGGACTGATATTTTTAGCTGCTTTGTGTTCCTTCCACTCCCGTTTCTCTTTGCAGGAGGTTTTCCTGCATAAAAACACAGTAACTGCCCGGTAAGATGGTCAGGTTTACGTTCAGTCATCCTGTGGAGACGTTGTGGACCCCTTGTTTCCCTTTGATGTAATCAAATCTAACTTCAGTGTTTGCATAAAGATGCTGCCGCTCTTTGATGAGTCTGTAGTTGGAAGTGGTGTCTCTTCATTTATCACCTGTTGGGGGGTGGGGGGGACCAGATCCCGGGACCTGAACAGCCTCAATGACCTGACCAGGAAGGCTGGCTCTGTTCTGGGATGACTGTGGAACCTCTGGAGGACAGCCCTGACCATCCTCTTCTCCTGATTGGTGGTAAAACAGATGAACAAAAATGGGCATCCACTTAAAATATAGATTTAAATATTGGTGTAATTTATTCCACAAGAAATGGGAAACCCCTTAGACACCCCTACCCCCCTTAGACCCTTTGCAGTGAGTTTAAAATACTAACTAAATAAGTAATAACTAAAGGCAGTGTTTTGTGATTGTGTCTTCTCTCACACTACCTGCACAGCCCAGATTTGCCGTGAACACGATTCAGAAGTAAAGTTCTATTTGCTGAGAGCTAACTTGATATGTGGAACCACAGAGTTTCATTAAATCCACGTCTTTGTGCCACAAATAGATTTCAAATTATCAGAGTGTGAAGCAGCTCTAGCTGCTTCCATAATTACCGTCTCCTCAATCTCCCTTTCTCGTAATTTGCCAGAGTCTTGCTGTGATAGACATACTGTATATAGTCTTTTCAGAAATACATTAGCTTCCTAATATCTTCTGAACTTTATTTTGAATTAAAGGAGGATTCCAAACTTTACAAGATGATAACTTGAATTGGGACTGCTTTACATAAAAGGTAAAATTTTTAATACAAGTCAAAGTAAGTTAATGAAAACCTCTTTTCTTTTTTAAACATTTTAACAGCTTACGTAAAAGACAGACGTGTCTGAAATGGCTTTCAGAAGAAAAGCAAATATTCATGCTGATAGCTTAATAGCTTCACCAGCAAATATGTGATTTTTTCAAGTCCTCAGGTCTAATGTTAGGGCATCAGATGTAAGAGCCTTTTCCCAAAAGTAACGACTGGAGAAAAAAACGATTACCTTTCGGCATGTTGAGAGCTGCCTGAGCTGTACTTTAAATGACGATTAATGAACCTGGCTCACAAAAAGCGACCTAAAAAATGCACAAGTTTGTGTAAATGAGGAAACAGTGCATTTGAAGTTTGTGGAACTGTGACCGGATTAGTCAGTAAGTGCTCAGCACATCGGGCGGTCGGTGATTGGTGCTGCCGATTAGACAGTCCTGCAGCTTCCCGACTCGTTTGTTAAGCTTCTGAACAAAGTCTCAGAGATCAGAGTTTTATATCAAACCAAGACAAAAACATGCACTTATTTCTAAGCTACTTCCAGCATGTTTCCAAGCCACTCATTTGTCATTACAGGTCTTTACAATGACTTGTTTTGCTCTGCAGACTCCATATGAGTTTTTACAAAAACTATTCTTTCAATTTAGTTTAAAGAATGTTAATGAAAGAATTTCTGGACACTGACCACTCAGAGGAATCCAGAGTTGACCGTGATGCTACTGCTGGTAGGTACTTGTGCTCGGGTTTCATTGACCTAGACACGTAATGTGCTTCTCAGAGATTGGATTTGAAGTGAGAGTTAGAGGCAGAGGAAGGGAGAAATGGAGGGCCTCAACATCATTTGTCTTACATGTTTGGGTCCAAGGTGTTTTTGGAGCAAATGAGTCCAATATGATAAGAAAGCAGGCTTTTAAAACAAGCCATTGTTTCTTTTTGGCTGGAAACACAAGAAATGCCAGTTAAAATAAATAAAGAGAATGGACTTTTTTTTTTTTTTCTTAAAGGAGTCACGTTCACAGTCAGGAGCAAAAACAAATCAAATATACAAATGCATCATTTCTACAATTCAAAAACAGATAAGTGAGAAAAAAAAAAAAGTTCAGTTTAATCATCTATTTAAATGCAGATATTTGTAACTTAACCAAATAGGTATATAAAGAGCAGTAATGAGACTTAAAACAATAAAAGTGAGACAGCCAAACAGCGCTGGTTATTTTTGACAGATGGCATTTATTCTCACCAGACATCTGACATTAGAATGGCTACAGCCGTGCCGCTGGGGCATGGCGACTAGACTCCAGAGGGGATCATCCAGGATATTTGGAACAGAGAAAGAGTAATAGTCAAAACAAACTAAACAAAAAACTACCTGTATAGGCCACTAAACATAATTTGCTACCTCAGTGGAGGAAAAGCTCAGTCCAAAGCCCTACAGATGCTGCACATCCTTCCTGCTGGCCACTTCTGGTCCTCTTGGCTCTGTTGTGAGACTGCATTCAGATCAGTGGTCCCACAAAACTAACATTCAGTCACATTTCACTTAAATACACAAGTTTACATCCATTAGATATGTGTTCCGATAAGCGTACGACTGCTGTACCACCAGACATTCAGAAGTGACAGCACGTGATCGGTTACATCAGGGGGATCACAAGTGCCTCAGAGAGGGTCTCACTAGGATCAGAACTGGGAGACAGGGGTGTGTTTGCGCTTCAGCGAACAACACTGAAGTCCAAAGGCCTCTCCAGACAAACTATTCCATATATACACACACAGTTACTGGAACTACTACAAGAGGTGGACTTCACCCGGAGTCCACTAAAAGAAGCCCTCATAAAGGGTTGAAGAGGGTGAGCAGAGGCCTTAGCCGCGGGGGGGGGAGCTGGACTTAAGGCTCAGGAAATACCAACAGCACGTGTGAAGAGTGAACACAATTTGACACACAATGACACGAGGACAACAAGTGCGGAACATCCTCGGTGCTGGACCACCACGCATTAAAGGAGGATTACGCAGATCTGAAAAAGGAACGGTGTCAGTTTCTTACAAGTGCTCAAAAGATAAAGGAATACGTTTAACAAGCTGGAGGTAATGTTAAGACCAGAAAAAAATGCCCTCACTCTCATGGCCGTGCGACAAATATCAAGCTCCAGCTGGCAGCGGCTTCGCTACGGGCTGGAAAAGGTAATCAAAAAGGCTTAAACCACGTTGACTGAGGCAGACTCAGCCTGCCAGAACATTAAATTCTAATTCCTACCCTTTGAGTGAGATAGGTTTTCATTTAAGAGCTTTAGAGATGGCTTTAGTTTTATTTAAGTCAAACATAATTAGACTGTAATGTTTACCGGAGCCGCTCGCTTGCAGTGAAACAATGACTGAAGAGTTTCTGATAGGAAGTCACTGAAGAACATTTGAAAAAAAGAGGATTACATAGGAGGACTTAGCCATTTCCACATGCAGTAAAGTGACTTTTGATGCTCTCAGGAAAGGGGTGCGAGGAGACCGGTTCTGCTGAGACACTGTCTGAACCAGCTGGAGAACTGGGTTGTGGAGACCAGCTACCAACCCTTTAGCTCTGCCACTTTTTCTCCTCAAACACTGCATTTCCTTTTACTTCCCATATCTGACAAAAGACGATCAGGGAGGGTGGCCTTAATGTGTGCTCACATACTGTTGGACGCTAAACTGGGATGCACATTTACTTTCAAAAGTGAGTTTGTTTAAGTGTATAAGTCTATATATCGTGTGAGTGCCAGTTGTTAGAAGATCAAACTTTGACAGCACAAAAAGTGAACAGTGGCATTTCTGCTGGAAAAAAGTTATTAACAATAGAGACAGTGATTAGTGAGACCCATTGAGCTTCTGGGGTGGAAGAAATACAACTAACTAGACTGGAACTTCCGTTGAGATGAGATGACTGTTGGCTCAGTGAAGAGTAACGTGTCTCTGGAGTCAGCATCAGGTGGGGTCAGGGGTCAAAGTGCAGGGCAACAGTCTCACAGGCCGCTGTTACATTATCCTGGAGTCAAACCAATCAGGTGACGCCATGTTCAGTTGCTGGCCACCTCGTCCGCATTGTCCACCGCCTCTAAGGTGCTGTCCAGTCCGCCGCGTGCACGCCAGATCTTTACGGTGCGATCACTAGAAAAAAACAACAGGATGATAAGGAGCAGCGAAACAAGTGGAAACTGTTCACTTTTCCTCCAAATGAAGAACAAATTCCCCATCTTATGGAAAACGTAAATGTATATTTCACAAGCAAAAAATACATATAAAAACAAACAAATGCATATCAACTTATCATACATCTACAGAAAGGCCTGACTCAGCTAAAAAACAAAAAGTTAAAAAAGATTTAAATATTCAGTTCAAACAGTAAACGAAAAAAGTAAAAAGCGGAAAAAGGAAACGCAATCAAAAAGCTGCGATCAGCAGATCCCCCAAATAAAAAAAGGGGATCCCACAGATTCCAAAACACATTGTTTCACTGTACTATAACCAGCGTTCACTCAACCAGAAGCAATAAAACAAAACAACGAAAAATGATTTATGCTTTGTTTATAAAAACAAAAAAAAGTTCATTAAATTCGGTGGATATATATATATTTTTAACTGCTCATCTATAACATAAATCTTTGGAAGTAGTTTGCCATCGGCAATTCTGTCTCAAAGTAGCTCGGTTACAGAGATTACTCTGTATGGGTATATTTTTATGTCTAAATACTTGTGGATGATTCTTTGAAAAGTCATAAAAAAACAACTATTTTGTAGGAATGTAGATGAAGTTTAAAAAATCTGTCTTTCAATACCTTAAAGAAATCTTTACTTGTACATATGTGGACATAATATGTAACAATGGCTACTGTACATAAACTGTACAGACACCTCTGTGAGTTTGCCCTGCGTCACTCGAGCAGCATCAGTCTGAGCACAGAGAATATCCACAGGTTGACTCATGGATTTGTTCAGTTTGTGTAGGCGCAAAAAAAAGTTTTCAACTATCTGTGTTCCATCCCCATTTACTTTGACACAGTGACAGCTAATATACCAATATCCCCAAATCTTAGCTCTGATTTAAGACCCAGACACTTTAAATATACTTAGTAGATGCAGAGAAACGCTCAGTTTATTTTGGATGCTGTATATTCGAGCAGGAGCGCCAACCCCCCCCCCCCCCGGGCTGAAGGCTGATGTGAGCTGCAGACAGCTCAGAGGCCGCTTCGCACTGCGGCTGATGGAGGATGAGCGCCCACTAAAAATATCAACGCTCTGGTCTGAATTATAGATAATGAAATGAATAGGAGAGAAAAAAAAACCAACAGCTTGGAGCGTGACCTTTTGCTAGTCAACACACTTTGTGTGGACAACTTCCAAGAATCTTAAAACTAAGCGGAGCCAAAGTGTGTGTGTGTGTGTGTGTGTGTGTGTGTGTGTGTGCCAGACTCACTCAGAGGCGGTGAACAGGTGGCTGCTGTTGGCAGCGATGCTGTTGATGGGGCTTTCGTGACCCTTGAGCTCTCCCAGAGTCCCCAGCGTGTCCGTGTGCCAGAGCTTGAGCACCCCACCTCTGCAGCCGCTCAGCAGGGCGGGGGAGTTGGGGACCACGCCCAGCGCACACACCCAGTCACGGTGAGCATTTGGGACTTGCTGATGGAGCAAAATGACAGCAGTACAGTTAGTGCTGTATGTTTCCTGAATGTCTAACCGACAGTCTCACTTAGCAGTAAAAATGGATCAGCTATCATTGCGTAGGACAAAAAAGGGACAGTTTTAGCTCAAGATCCTAAGTTGGCCATCATGCATCACGTCACAGACGCCATATTCAGAAACCTACAGAGTACAAAAGCAATTTTCTAACCACTGTTACTATACATCCTGGAGGACTTTTTAAAATAGAATTATACATCTGAGTTATTGTGCGTTCTTGAACACTCAGCTCCTCCAGCACCTGAAGCAGGTCTTTGCGGTCTAGGTCCCACTTCTTGATTCCGTTGTCTCGGGAGCCGCTGAAGAAAATGTCCCCCTGGACCACCAGAGATTCGATACCGTCGTAATGTGGGGGCTCGAAGTTGTGTGTGGGGCCGATGCTCCCCAGTGAGCCATCGGTCACGTCGAACAGCTGCAGCCGCAAAAACACCGGGTGTTAAAAGTTTTATGTCTACACTAAGAATTATGCAACACTATGTGTTCCAATAATGACTTGTGTCTGTTTCCGTTCAATGAACTCCACTTTCCATCATGTCTGGAAAAATAAAAAGGAAAGGTTTGATGGCACACACACCTTGATGTAATGGTCCTTGGACCCTGTGATCACCAGGTCCTGGTTGTTTCCGGACTGATCCACAGTCAGACACATCACTGGACCAAGGTGACCGGTCAGTTTGCCAGTGGATGCAAATCTGACAGAAAAAAATAACAAGAAATGTAGATTTTTCAGGTGTTGTCTGATAACAAAGGACTCAGAGTTTTTTTGTCTCGGTCCCTCTTGGACAGTGGGCTCTTGTTAAAATGTAAATGGACTGGCCTTATAAAGCGCTCGTCTAATCTAAGTGACTAATATGGGTTCAGCATCTCGCCTAAGGGTCTTCAACGTGTGATCCAGGGTAGATCTGAGTTCAACCAACCACTTTGCAATAGTTGTGTGGCGGCCACTCGTCCTCCTCAGCTACAGTAAGCCCCTTGGCAGACATGTGAATTTAAAAATGCTTTGCTCTTCTAGATTGACAGCTAGGAGCTGGCTTGATTTTTTCTCTTATGAACAAAGAGGCCATTCATCAAAGCCAACACCAGCTGGTACAGGGAGGAGAGGAAGACTCTGGATTGGATGCTCATCAGAGTTTGACATGAACTAAGTTATTTAAGATACAGTGAGAAGAAACTGGGCATTCTATGAAACCGTGTTGTGCTCTACATGTGAATATGGTGTTGCTGTCTCTAGGTGGGAATGAAAAACAGACTATTATCGTATTTGGTAGTTAATCTAGTCAAAAAGAGTGTGGGGAAAAGACACTTTAATTGTCAAAGAGCAGCTTTATGTTTTACCATTACTGTCATTCTGCTTCTACATTTTCATTTATCCACATGACTGAAGGACAAATAAATAACCAAAAGCATCCATCTAATCAGCCAGAACATATTTCTACAGACAGGTGTCCTCGGTCAGCGGTGCTCTCTGCGCCTCCTCTCACCTTCTCAGGTCCCACACTCGGACAGAGTTTCCGGCAGCGGCGTACAGAACTGTGCCGTTGGGATTGAGAGCAATTTGATTGATCTGGTTCTCTCCCGCGGGAATGGTGACTGTCCGGCTGGTGCTGGACGCACAGCTGTCCCCAACGTTGACCTGACCAGAGGATCTGGAAACGGAGATGAGACGTGTAAAAATCTGTGCGGTTACAGACTGAAATGGAAACTGGGAGAAGTTCAAATTCATCTTAGCTGTGGCTGAGACAAATTTCACACCTCTTCTATTCACAAGCACGAGTCATTTAGAGCGTTAGCTAAATATACACCCGGGAGCTCCCACGGAATAAAGCCCACAGTAGCCCTGCTCACGTGAGAGTTCTGATGCACTTGGCTGAGTCCCTGATGTCCCAGACTTTGATGTAGGAGGTGGAGACGGTGAAGACTAAACTGGAGTTGTAGCGGATGGACACCACGTTGTTGGGGTGTCCGGCCAGGGACATTATCTCCTGACCAGTGACCAGATTCCACACCTTACAGGTTCGATCTGCAAGAAAAAAGTGTGGGCTGTCGGTTATGTCGGTTATGGGTTAAAAGGGCTTTTTTCCAAATAAAGAAGAATGTGATATTCTAAAAACACTTTATCTGTTCTATGCGAGCAGCAAAGGGAACCAATGAGTCCCTTCGATATAGTTAATACCCAACACATAATAAGTTCAAGTACTTTGTACCATAATTTTTTTTTGTATGCCAATGTAATTTTATTTTATTGCCTCACTTATCCACGCCCTGTGCGGATGGCAGTATTAATTAATCCCTGTCAGGTTTTATTTGCCGTTATGTAACAGCATGTCAAGCGGTAATAAATTAGCAGCGCTGGAGACATGGGCGAGACTACAGATGAGAGCTGGAAGAATCAGAGACGAAGGAATAGAGGGAGAGAAGCAGAGTTTGTGACCTTTGGATCCGGTGAACAGGAGGTCATCCGTGCAGTCCACACACAAAACGGCTTTGCTGTGTCCTTCGGCCACGTGGACGCACTGCAAGGTCCCCGCCCGGCTGCTCTTAGTGGACGGCACTGGGTTGATGACACCCCTGTGGGGAGGGGGGGAGGGGGGAATAAAATATTTTTTTAAATGAATGCCAATATGGTGATCTATGATCTGGGTGCTGAACAGAGATAAATCAGTCCCACACAAACATGCACCGTACTCAGCTGTTGTGGCCCATTTACTCAAAGCCGCAAATCAAAAAGAGAGAGAGGATGATGAAAGTCGGAGGGGAAAAAATAGTCGCGGACAGAGTCACCCTTGTTGCGCCCAGCAGAAAGCACCGATAAATACCCATGTACAGTGATTTAGTTTGGCTTTCCCACAGAAGAAGATAGGTGAGAGCTACAATCAGTGCTGTTGCCTCATGAGGAACATTAGCATCGGTGGAATGCTCATTGATCACTAATTAGCTAATGGCATCTGATAGCAACTGCTCAATTCCACTAATAGCATCAGGATGTGCCACAGATGCAGATAAAGGCTTCAAGGGCCTCTGGTTTGAACAACAAAAGCTTTACGGAAATGAGACTAAGCTAATTAATAAAGGAAATCACAGAGGGTTTGGGCTTAGCGTAATAACCAAGATGAACAGATCTGAAAATATCCAATGGCTTTAGCCAGCAAGGGGTTTTCCCTGGATGCTAGCTAACAAGAGAAGTGAGGTGTAACAAACATGATAGGTTCAGGTTCCAGAACAGTCCGCTGCAGAGCTGCGTAGCCCTGTTACCAGGCTGGGCTATACCCACACAATGGGTTCAAATCGAATATGGAATCCGAGGCACACCTTTGCCCCGTACGCTAAAGTACAAACATCTGGCAAATGCTGAAGCAGAAAAAACTAAACAAACAGAAAAAATATTTCTGTGGATGGGAAAGAGAGAAGGGAAAACGGGATGGAGGATGTCGAGGATGAACAGGAAAATGAATCCTCAGTCATCCCAGAGAAAGAAGAGACTTCAATATCTCTAGGAGCTAATTGGCTTCTTATATAAACAGCCATTTCCAGTAACCTAATTTTCCTCATCATTGTTAATAAAGTGGGGAGAACCTCAAGAGTTGGGCTAATTAAGTCAATGTTGCTCATACAAAATCAAGGTCAAAATGAGGAACATGGCTGTTCTGTTGGTATATTCCATCCTTCCACGTAGCCACTGCAATCAGGTTTTCCAGCACAAATTTGAGACTCAACTAAAAACAAAATGTCCTCTAATCCATCTGTTTGCACTGTGGAAGCCCAATAAAAAGGTTTCTGGCAAATCAACACTTGACATTTTTCTGTATCAAACCTTTTGCTTTCTTCATCTTATACAAAATACAAATGGAAAACAACTCGCACTTTGGAGAGCTTTTAACTGAGTGTCCCCAGCTCTGCTTCAGCTGATTCTCCTTTCCCATCACATCAGACCTATTTGACGACTCTGCTCTCTACGATTAGCATTTCTAACCCCACATACAGTAAAATAATAAGTTTCCTTTTCAGCTAAGTTATATTAATATTAATACATTTTATTGTGAATTTGAAAAATAAACAGAAAACACACATTCAATTCTTAAGAAAGCACCAATCCAAGAGTACTCGAGACTATTTTGAAGTCTTATCATTACCATACGATAAAGCACAAACAGATTAATAATACTGGCAAGTTGAACTTGTTTCTTTTTATACTCAATATAGCTGAAAAGACTAACGCAATGGCTGTATGGAAATTAAATACTTAAACTGACAGCATGCTTTGCTTGATAATCAGCAGAGTTATGCAAACAAGCAGAGCAGAAACACACTTTTTTTTTTGGTTTGGTTTGAGAACATGCGAAAGGGGTTCTTTCACAGGATTGCGCACAGCAGAACAAGCTTCCATTAGGGAAGATAAACCTGCTGCTGCAAAAATCTTTATGCTAAACCTCACACTGTATCCATCCTCTCTGCACTTAAAGGGAAACATTTAGTCACCTGGGACAGCAGCTGACAAGCTGGAGTTTCACAAACTGACAGCTTTTTAGAGAGAGTGCACCTCACTCCTCCCAATTAGCATCCATATCTAACCTTAATCCTGGGTACTGGTGGAGTAATGTCACTTTTACTTATGTCTGCCTCTTAGTCTACGAGACGTGTGCAGCACGCCTCAGACATCCTGTCATCCGACGCGGTTGCTGGGACTTGAGGGGGGGAGCTAGAGGAAGTGGTGGGCTGCTCTTCAGGGTCCTGATGACTGGGCTGCGAAGGAAGGCAGCAGTGTTGCCAATTAAGCTGCAGCATAATTAAAGTGTGTGCTAAGCTGTTTACACTGCTGACACAAGTGTGGGAGGACTGCGTGAGGACATAAGGGAGACGCATATGCCACATTCATGTCATATGGGAGCAAGTATCAGGAAGGCTCCAAAGCGAGGAGTACTTTTGAAACTGCTACACTTCTTTTTGTCACTCCAAATGTGTCGCAGGGATTTAGCAGCCTGGTTTCAATGAAATGTGGATTCAACTGCAGAATGTTGAACAACATATATGCCAAAGGATGTCTTGCGGCCTCGTCAAAGGAGGGAACATCTTTGGTGCACCGGGAGAGAACTTAAAATCTAAGTAAGCACGAAGCTCACAAGGAATAATAATGCTAACTGTCCAGGAGGAACTGAAACTAAGAGAAAAACTGGAACGATGAGAAATGAGGAGACTCGCCAAAACAAATGTCACAGATGGCCCGAGGATGGTGGCAGTGTAAATGCCACGTTGTAGCCTGGAGGGTTTTATCCTGCTCCGTGTCCTCCTAGTGTAGTGGTCAAAACATTACTTAATTGCCACCATTTTCTTGTCAATGAATTTAGTTTATTTCTCCACAAATGGTTCTCACCTCTGTCAAAAGCTAATATATCCAACATATTTGAAAACTACATCACAATTCACTCCAAAACAAACAAGTGGTTGCCTCTCTATATTCTTTCTATTCCTCCTGTGCATGAATAAATAATAAACCTCAGGTTTCAGTGTCGACACATGCGCAAACGCCAACCTGGTTTACTGGATTTGGACTGTTCATCAGTTATGAATTGACAAAGAATTACTTCCAAGTCTAAAGCCGTTTCCTCACAATCAGAATTGAATGATCAGACACAAACAGAGGAAGGAAAGTAACGTCCTCAAGGGGTCAAAAGTGGACCAGAAGGACATCAGAAGCAAAGGGATTGATCAGCAAGTTGAACACTGAATTTGAGTCAAAACCACCCAAAACAAAATTAGAAGCTCATTATCATGGCTCAACGAGAAGGAAGAATTTGACTTAAATTCAGCACAGAACTTGGCAGGTCAAAGGTCATCAAACAAGAAGCACAGCATTGTTGATTAAGGTAATGTTCACATGCCTTTCCAGAGCAGGAAAATCGACAGGAGGATTAGTAGAGTCAGAGTGAAGTGATTTTGCCTTTTTTTTTTCTAAGCTTTGCAGCCACAATGCTGACAACGAGCCCTTACTGTTTAATCTCCTTGACTTTTGCCCTGTCAGCCGCTGCTTGTGCCTTGTCATAGGTCTTCCTGCGAGAGAGCGGCGAGGGCTCCGGCGCTCGCTTATCCACGCCTGGTGCAGTTCTGGAGCCAGAACTGAGCGTTCAGTATGAGCAGTTTTTTTTATTTTTCACAAACAACACAAAGACAGGTATACAAAAAGCAATTATAAAACAAAAGAAGGGACGTGACACCAACGCAAAATAATGCCAACAAAGAGGAGATGAGCATATGGTACACAGAAACACCGTTACCTGGCAGTTAAAGCTCCAACACAGTGGTGGTCCTTCTCCAAGCCCATGTTTATTAAAGAAGACCCTGTGGGCCTTATGTAAAGTTTTAAAGGTCTGCTGGTAATAATCTAACTGCTCCCGAATCCATGTTGTAAAGTGAAATTGCAGAGGTTTAATGCACGGCCGGGACAAGCAGCCTGGTTAGTCATTTAGTTTTTAGCAGAAATACCGAATCACAGAAAATGTTTTGTTTGTTTTTTTTGCAGGGGTCATCAAAAGAAGAAGCAGCTGGAACGTTAATATTTGCCCGTCTCTGCATGCTTTTATCTCAAAGGACTTATCAAGTTGGGATTCAAGTCGAGCCATGTCTAAATGTGCTCTTAAATGGAGGCCAAAGAGCCCAATGACGGCAGCGATATCCAACATGCAGGAGGGAGGGAAGCTGGAGTTAAGGTGTTAGTAAAAAAAAAAAAAAGAGAGAGAAAAAAAACGGTGCCGGGCCAGGACTTACATGCTGCCCATTTTAGAGGAAAAGCCAGGAGAGAGAGCAGCGTAGTCCCTGACTGATGAGCCCGACAGGTCGGCGTCCACACCGCCTTCGGGCGTCTCGGCTAACGGCAGCATGGGACCGGAGAAGTCTGCGGGGGCGTCGGGGGCCGAGTCGCTGTTCGCATACAGCAGCTCCATCTGGGTGGTGGTCCTCCTCCGGGCCTGTGCCGCAAAAAAAAAACCGGGAGGAAATATAAGCAAACTTAGATTTTCGAAGCCATTTTCAGATATTTCTTTTTTTTATGCCGTTTAGACATGCAATACCTTGTTCCTTGTTTTGGTATCCCCACAGAGTTTCATTAGGTCTGACGCCAAGTTCCTACAGACAGAATACATCAGCTTTTTACTGCAAGTATTAAGAAAAGCACTTAAAATAAAACTCATCCAATACAAACTGTCATTTCAGATAAACCTCTAAGACGAAAAGATGCAACATGAGAAATCCATTAGACAGCAAGAATACAGCAGGACATCACGGATGACATCTCCCACAGTGGGACAAATATAGCAGAACTCACCATAATATAAAACAACATGCAATGTAATCAACATATACTTACGTTCCCTCTGCTGAGGGGCTCTGAGCTGACTCATCACTGCTGCTATCATCCCCGTTTTCTGTCAGATTAGATCAGTGGATATCATTAGAGCCCGGTGATGAAAACTATCAACGATAACCCTCTGCCCTGGTAAAACTGAGAGGACATCTTATGTCTTTTAATGTCGCCCTCTTAAGGGTGAATTATTCATCTGCTCCTCATTTTTGTGGGTTCTTTTTCTGTTTAACCACTCAAAATGGAGGCAGAAGATGGGAAGCAGATGGGGCCGATGTTGGCGCAGCGTCATGCTGTTTTATTGACAGACCTGGTCCTTCCTGTGTTCAATGGGTTCACATTAGGTAGAAATGGATGAGAGGTTCCAGACTAAAGGGGGGGGGGGTATTTAAAGGAATGTTGGAAGTTGGATGGTGGAGGGTTCAGATGAAGTTAAGAGACTTAGTGTAGGAGAGCAAGATGGGTGGGCTTCAGGAATAATTAGTCTGTTGCTCCTGACTGACGGAGCCAAAGCATCTGTGTTGCTCCTGTTGAAGGGTCTGGAGTTAGCAGGCGCTAAAGCATGGAAGCTGTAGCACACGTGAAGTGGGGGGAGGAGGAGGGGGATGAGAGGGTGTCCAGGAAAGGAGGGAGGGAGGGGGCCAGCCGACAGATGGAGGGAAGCTGGATTGCACTGCGCTTCATGCACCGGCCTCTGTTATGTTCAGTTAGTTCTCAGAGTGCGAGGGGAAGGAACCATGCACTGATAACAGGATTAAGGTCTAATGGGGCTTCACTTACCAGCAGGGACGTTACCTAGCTCTGTAAAAACATGAGAACACAAAAGAAAGAAAACATGGGGGAACTGAAAAGAGGCAATGCACAAATCATAAAACACTGTCCCCCCAACATTCTAATAAAAGGAAAAAAAAAGATAAGAAAATAGACGAAATCTAATGAGGCGTCTGTGAAGTCAGCATACTGCTGAACAGAGGCTGGCAAAATACACCACCATCACAAAGAGCATATAGAATCAACCCTGATGCATAGCATGTATATGGTAACTTTAGAGAACCAATATGGTGATTTCAGACAGATCATTCGACCAGCTTCTGTTTAGCAGATGGTAACAGGCAAGCCCTTCTCAAAAGGCCCAGTCATGCAATCCACCCTTAACCCAGTCCTTCCCCAGAAACCCAAATGTTCACTGACAAATGTCCCCAAACTAACAACGTGGTGGTTAAACCGTAGGAAATATGAGTGAGAATCTCAGGAGGTAGGCTGGGTTAAGCCTGGGCATCTGCTGAATGTTCCGATCCAGAGTAAAGCCCCCCCCTCACCCTGAAGGGCGTTCCCCAGCAGCGCGTCCAGCTCCGGGTTGAACTCGGCCTTCTCCTTCAGCATGTGGAACAGCAGCTGGTTCTGTGTGGCGCTGGTGATCTCCGTCTGCTTCAGCCGGCCCTCCATCACCTTCACCTGAGACTCCCGCTGGGCCGCCTGCAGACCCTGAACAGGCGATCAAAGACATCTCAGAAACACTTCAAGCCAGACATCAGATAGTAGCCAGGGCTAACGGATAGAGTTCATGTTGGTGTGCTGCCATGCGAACATTAGGAGTGGCAGAAGCGATGTTTTCTGGTACCTTGTTAATGGCCATCGACATGAAGTGATCGAGCAGGAAGCGAGCTTCGGCCAGGGTACAGGAGCCAATCACAGCAGAGACGTCCACTGTGTCACCCTCATCCTGCAGGAACAAAAACAATTCAATCTGATCCTGAAGCTGGCAACAGACATAAAACACATTACTACATTATTATTGTTACGTTATTATTACGTTACACATTAAAGTCCAGTTGACCACGGCACCAGAAACAGAAAACCAACAGGCTTCCTCACTTTGGTTTCTTCCATCTGCATGATGTTGGCCTGACAGTCGGCGATGCTGTCATTAATGTAGTCGATGTTGGCGGTCAGCGCGTCCACCTCCTCGTTGACGGGGGGCAGTGCTTTCTCTGCCTCGGGCCCCTCCCTGGACAGCCGCTCCCTCTTCCTGATGACCTTCTCCTTCCGCTTCGTCAGCTCCTCTCGTTGCTGCGTGTTTTAACATGTCCAGACCGTTTAAGGGTCTCGCACTTTAATGCAATCATTTTCACAGTGTGACAAAAGGAGTTAAAAACGAGGGTGGGGAGCATCAAATCGTTCTATTTGATCTATTTGGAGTAGTCAAAACAACCAAATGAGGATGACCTCTGAAATGAAGCACCCTGATAGGAATCTTTAAAAAAAAATATGTTTTTATAAATATATGATTATTTCTTCTAAAAAATTAGAGTACGTTCATATTTTTACAGAGGTGAAAGATTTCATTCTGAACATTACTTATGAAGGCCAAGTCTGGGATAATCCGCCTTTACCTGCTGGCATGTAAGCGTCTCTGGTAATAACTAGTTTGCCTAAACAATCTAACAGCCTCACCTTGAGGAGACGGTTCATGTCGGCCTCCATGTTGGAGATGGTCATTCTCTGCATGATGACGTCGGTGATCCGCCGCTCCAGGGTCTGCCACTTGTTGCGAGCGATTCTGGTGGAGTACACGCCAGCTGTGCGCCTGTAAGAGGACCTGTGAGAGGGTTCCCCAACACGGGCACGTCAGGAAGGAGGGCCAGTGTTCCTAGATTTGGCCGAATGCGTACCACACTCAAACAAAAGTCCAAAGCCACCGGTGACTCACCGTGTGCCGTTGGTCGCCGTGTTGCTGGAGGAGTACATGCGTCCGGTGGATGGTCGGTGAGGGGAGTCGTGCACCGGGTCGGGAAGATTTACTTTCCTGATCACCTTGCCTGAGGTGGGCCTGGCCTGCCTCCTCAGGGCGGTCACCTGAGGCGTACACACAAACAGAGAGGAGGACAGGTTGGTGGGAGACTGGACAATCTGCAGTGGAATGATTCCATGGTTTCAGGGAGCTAAAAGAAGAACCCTTTTAGTATGAGTTTCCAAACTGGGGTACTTGTATTGTATAGATTGAACTTTTTTTTCTAAAGTACATTTCAGTAGGAAATGTGGTGGAGTTAGCATGTTCTCCCCATATATGTGCTGGTGCTCTAATGGTACTCCAGCTTCATCCTGATCTCCAAAAACGTGCACGTTGGGTTGACTGATGATTCCTTGTAAGTGTGAAAGTAACTGTGTGTATTTATTCATGTGTGGGCGGCCCTGCGATGGACTGGCGACCCGTCCAGGGTGTGTCCTGCCTCTCAGCCAATGGCAGCTAGCATAGGGTCCAGCCCCCCTGCGACCCTTCTAGGAATAGGCGGCGTACCAGATGGAAGGATGGCTGGACAGTTCAGTAGGAAATATGTGGAATACTTTGTCACGTTTCTGTGCAAGCTTTGGTTTAAGTATCACTTTTCTAAACAATAGCCTTAAAAAAATGTCCATGTAAATAAATGGCTTGAAATAATAATGATTAAGGATTAAGCGTAAATACTGCTTTATGTCAAATAGAAGCTGAAATATTTTTTAAAATAAGTTAAGACTTGTGGTATTAATGGCCAAAATGATGGAATCCCCTCCCTTTGTCAGTGTATCAGTGAAGCTGAGGCCATTTCTCAGGATGATAATGATCTGGTTTGAGTTTTGAGACTTGTCTGAGTAAGAATGGTGTGTTTTTCTTCATTAGGATGCAGTTTTTTTTAATGATAAAATCATTTTGTCCTCGAAGTAATCTAATAAAAAGAAAGTTCAAACAACTTTATACTTTTAATGATACTTTTTTTTATTCCAAAATGTCTGGAATATGCTATATTTTTTTTGTTTATATATCTTTATTTCTCCATAAAATCCATCTTGTTTGGGGATTTGAAATCACTGGTGTTTTTGAAACCTTTTTTGGCCATTCAGCAGCTGAGAACTTTGAAGAAAAATTAATGAACTGCCTGCGGAGTAAAGAGCCTCGATGCAGCTCCAAATCATTCTACCTCCTCTGAGTAAAACCTCTCTACGGCTCACCTCTTCGGTCTTCCTCCTCAGGATGAGCTCCTGCTGCCTTTTCTGAGCTTCTAGTAACTTCAGTTGATGCTGAGGTGGAAGCACAATTACAGAGTCAGCAGCGATAATCAAATCAATGACTGAACCCTTCTGATAAAAACCCTTACCTCCTGCTTACGCTGGTCCTTCTTCAAAGAGGCAATTTCCCGATTCCTGCGAGACTCGTTCATCCTGTTTTTCTCCTGCTGTTCCTTCATCTGCTTCATGAGACGAACCTGAGAAAAGCCGTCAACAATGAGCCGACGCAGCCGCGTAAGTTGCCCTGCCCAGGTTCAGCTTAAACCCATTTTAACATTTATATCTTTTCGATTAAACAGATAAAAACGGCAAACCCATCAAGATAATGCAAACATGAAAAGAGCGACTTCATGGAGGTAAAGGATTAGTTTAAGAGATTATGTAACCCCCCCACCTTAGTCTTCTTCATTTCTGCCACGTCCATCTGAAGCTTCTTCAGCTGCTTCTCGTACTGGGACTGGTTCTTCAGCAGGCGGGCGTGCTCCTTCTGAGCAGACTGAAGTTTCTGAAGCTCCTTGTTCATGACGCTTAGTTTCTTCTCATATTCAACCTTGATTTTGCGAGCCTTGTCCTCGGTGCCGCTTTCCACCGAAGCTTCAAATATGACAAGAATATTAAAAAAGGGGAACAATGGTGTACAGCTTCTTAAAAACTAATGATAAAACCGCAAATGATTACATTTCTATTTAAATATTCTATATATGTAAACATGTATACCTACACATGTACTGTATATTTACATATGTAATATGTACATTATTTGCACATTCTATTCTATTTGCAATGAGCTTTTTCACTCTAATTGTAGTGCAGGATTTTTTTTTTTTAACATACTCCCCAAATATCTATAATAAATAAATAATGAATGAAAGGAAGGTCTGAGACATTTAGCGCAAGATAGAAACTCTTCTAAAAATAAGTGGGACAAGCTGAAATCCCAATACACTGTTGAGACAGAGACTAAATGATCAAAGAAGGAGACGTGATTAAGGTCACGTGTGCCATCTGGTGGATTTTCTTCTCTAAGCAGTACAGTAAAATGAATGATTAAAAACCAATGCAACATTCTCCGCACTGACTGATGCCCGACCCCCCCCGCCCCTCCCGAATTCCCCTCAGGGATCCTGGTCTTACTCATGTTTTGGAGGACACGGTCCCTCTCCAGCTGGGTGTCCCTGATCTTGCTCTGCAGCATCATCAGCTTCTGCTCGTACTGCTGTTTGAGGGTGTGCAGACGCCGCTGGCTGTTCTCCAGCTCGTCGATCAGCTTCTGCTTTATGGCGATCTCGCACGTGATGTTGGCCAGATCGGCCTGGAAGTTCTCTGTCAGACAGATAGAGAGGGTCGGGAATCAAACGCCGTTACGAGATTACACAAGGAGAAAAAAAAAGGAAAATAAGTAGTTGCTGTATACGTTTCCCTTCTCCACCTTCTTTGTGGCGCATTTCTTTTACTTTCCTCATATCAGTTTTTGCTTATTTACTTTGATAAGGTCAAATAAGATCTTCTGCATCATAACTGTGTAAATACTGAGGGAAAGATTCCACATGAGTTGTTCCCAGACAAGCACAGTGGCTAACCATGTGATGAATTCAGAAATTACTGGACGTAAAGTATGTGCTCAAATGTTTAATAAAGTGTACCTTAACCAAAAAGGTAATTCAGTCTTTAGAAGTAAAGCAACTAAAACCTAAAAACTGTCATGCAATATGTCACCACAGACATAATCAAAATCATAAACCCACTTAACGGGCAGAAATGTAGAAGTCCTTTAAGAGTGATTGTATAGCTCCACCTTGTGGATAGGTTCTGTACGACAGTCATGAATTACCGTAACTAAAAAATCATTTTCACCTTTTTCGTCACATTCAGAGTCGGAGTCGTCAGAGCTGTCCTCCACTTCCATCTCCTCTTCTTCCTCTTCATCCTCCTCCTCTCCTTCGTCATGGTCACTGCCCTCTGCGATCTCCTGGATCACCAAATGATTTTTTTGTGTCCGACAGCCATGTTTAAAAGCATGCTTGTGGCTGAATATAGCGGTAGGAGTTAAATCTGAGCTTACTATGTCAGGGTCTTCAGTAACACGCTCTGCCATTTCCTTCTCAGAGCCCTTCTCTTGCTCATTGTCAGGAACTTCCTCCTTGTTGGCACTAAAAGATTCAGAGGTGGTAGTCAGTCGGGGCTGTTAGCAACCAGCAGGATGGATAACACACATGTTGATGCATTGAGCAACAATCTGCCTCACTGTATTAGTACCTCAGTTATGATAAGAGTCACATTGTTTTTGGCAAATGAGATGTTAAAAAAGGGTCTTACATCAGTGCAGCAATACAGGTGAGATAACATTTTAGATTTTTTTAGAATTTGGTGGGTTTTATGCCAGGTAGTCATTTGCATCCACACACTTAAGAAAAGCTAAATTCTCTTTTATAACCCACAGCAATGTGGATGTAGGAATTTTATTAGAGCTGAGAAGCAGTCTGGAAACCATTTCAGCCACAGCTGAGATGGATTTAGCCGTAAATGAGTGGAAATAAGCATCATTAATTATAACATATACCTTGTTGGTTTGTTGAATAAAAAACTAGAAGCCTTTCAGTCTTTCATCAAACTAGATGTGCAAAATCTAGTTGCATTTTAGGTTCTAGATGCACTTTTATGACTGAGGCTTTAAGAAACAAACCAACAGGGTTGTTCCATTTTCCATGCACTTAGAAGAAAGTTTTCTTTTTTTTCCCCCAAATGAGGGATGCATCTTATCCAGACAAAATTATCCCAAAAAAAAGGAAGCATGGAAAAGGAATGCAGCACAAAAGAATGAACAAGTTAAGCAAATCTGCAAAACAGGTCAATTGGATACATATTTGATCCAATCAGAGGGCTGCCTACATTTAGGCAGTGTTGGCAGTTTAACTTGTAGAAAACTAAATATTTACACACATTTGTTACACTGGTAATGTTTGCACATTGTCTTTAATTAACCATTTGCTAATACTTGTCCAACTATGCCGCCACCAAACGGGAATAAAGAATAAGAGGGGTGCAGATTTGAAGCTGTAAGGGTAAAAAAAAGTGGTTAATGAGAGCAGAGTGCGTCAGTGACATTGTGTTTCTCTCCATGCGGGGAAACAATTGCCCCCCCCACAAAAATGAGGAGTAAAGTGAACCGTACAAGTGGAAGCAAAGGATGGGGATGGCAACAGAAGGTGGAAGCTCAGACAAACCTGCCATCTTCAACCTCTTCCACCACCTCCTCCCTTTCCTCCCTTTCCCTCTCCTCCAACAGCTGCTGGAGTCTTCAGGGAGGGGTGAGGGGTTATACCAGAGAAGGAGGCAAGAGATGAAGGAAGAATGGAGGGAACAACTATCAGAGGAAGCTCTGCACTCGAACACGTCCCCCCCCCCCGCCCCCCCAAGGAGCCCATCACCACAACAGGGAGCCAGGAACAGCCTCAGTGTGTCATCGAACTACACTTACAATCAGACTCAGAATATGGGCAAACAGTCATCGCAATCCAACGCTACATACATGTATTAATTGGATACATACAGTAATCCTTTCCGTGGATATCAGAGATTTCAGTCTTTCAAGCTTAAAAGACTATTTGTATCTGCAGATTGACTTTAAAAAAGAAATACAAAAAGAAACGCAAACGCTGCATACCTGTATAACACAGACAGGATCAACAGGCATTAAAAAGCTTTCAGTATAATTCCAGTTGGATATTCCCCTTCTTTTTTAGCACTGAAAGGCAAATACATTCATATTCTGGCTGCAGCTCAGGAGAAGAGTAATGCGTTCCCTGTGTGTGTTTGTGTGTGTCAGAGAAAAGAAAAAGCACCGTGTTGCCCGCAATTTGTACAGACAAAGACTAAGTTGTACTGTATGTGTGGGTTTGTGAATGTGGTTTGTGTTGTAAAAACGCTGCAAGTGATCATCCACAACAGTCCATTTACCATTTATAATCCATGGTTTACTGTCAGACTAACTTTCTAAGTAAGCACCCTCCCATTTTGGCAAAAGCCTTTTAAGAGCTTTACTGTTAAAGTTACTCAGGGTTATTCATTTTTAAACTAATTCAAATCGCTGAAAGCCCAAAACTGCCCCAATGTGTCCATCATGAGTGTTTAAGCTGTTGTAAATGGAGATCAATTCCGTTTGTTTTCTCAGAAATTTTCTACGGATTAGGATACATTGTCCGACATTTCTGTGACATCTTAGACGAGCATCTGGGTAAAGCATTCACTTGCCATTAGAAAGTTAGGAATACTTGAAATGGAATCAGAATAAGTTCTATTCCAGTTTGTAACAGAGGAGGACAGTAAACAGACGATCCTCTCATGAACACAAATGACGCTAGCTCCACTCCTCTCGTTACCTTTTCTTTTTCTTTTTTTCTCGCTTCTTGAGTTTCTCCAGGTCCTTCTTGGCAAGTTCGATGATGTCAGATGTCTCCTTCTCGGGGGCCATCAAGTTGGTGGGGAAGGAGCCGGGTCCCCCGTAGAAGGACTGACGGCTGGAGGCCCGAGACAGATTCTTCCTCAAATTCTCATTCACAGCCTCGCTTTCTAGGAGTTTGGCCCTAAAGGAAACATTAGGATTCGGTCATACACATTTAAATGACTCCACACATTGGAATTGATCAAAACTCCACATCCAGACTTTTAACCCACTGAAAAATCTCTGCAATCTTTGTTTGTACTTTTAGAAAACTAGTGTAAAAGCCTTCCGGGTTTAACACTGGGGTGCAAAAGAGAAAAAAAAAAGCAAAATACAAATAAAACCACAGAATTTGCCATTTTTGGCGGTCAGATATTTACCGAAGGTCTTCAATCTCTTTGATGTAACCCTGTATCATGTTCCCAATTTCCTCTGTGCCTCCTTCACCTGCAGGAGAAACATTTTCAAATGAAAAAATTATCTAAAAAAGACTAAAAAGGGGTCCTAATGCAGCCACCATGCTTGGCTAATAATGTCTAACAAGTATATATGACATTTCCCTCTTTGTGGCAAAGAAATACACTAAATGACATATAAAGCTATCAGAGTCCTCTCATGTGGAACCAGGTTCCGGTTTGGGTCCCGGAGGCAGACACCGCCTCTACATTTATCAGTAGGCTTAAGACTTTACTTTATGATAGAGCTTATAGTTGGGGTGAATCCACCCTTAGTTATGCCCAGAGTAGGTCTGACCTGCTCTGTTTGGAAAGCTGTGAGATAACTGTTGTTGGGATTTGGGGCAATAGAAATGAAATTGAATTGAATTGAATAAAATCAAGTGGTTCTGTGGAAAACCTACCAGCCCTGGCAAGTGCCTGGTTGGCCTGGTCACTGAGCAGCTGAGTGAGGCGCGCCCTCTGGACATCAATGGTCTCCTGCATGGCTTTGACTCTCACCCTGAGGTTGCTGTTCTCCGTCTGCAGCATGGAGTTCTCATGGAACATGTCGCTGAAGCTCTCAATGCCGTCCTCCCCCACCATGCGTTTGCCCTGTGGGACACAAGGTGTTTTAAAGGCTCCAGGGAGAACCGTTTAATCTCTCTTATCAGAATCTGCTGCTCCCGCCCTTAGAGCTTCTTCCCTCACCGTCTTGTACTCCATCAGCTCCATTTGCAGCCGGGCTATTTCTGTTCTCAACGCGCTGATCTGTTGGCTGGCCTTGTCCTGGTTCACCATCACTTTGTTCTTGATGTTCCGGGCCCGGTTGGCGTACTTTAACGTGTTCAGCGTTTCCATGAAATCCCGATCAGAAGGACTGATGCACGCAATCATGACCGTTTGGCTAGGACGAAAAACAAGCAGGACTTTAAAGGTGTACATCTATGCAATTCCATTTAAACGATCGTTGATCATTTCCAGGGTGACAGCACCAGTGTGAGTGGATGAAATGCACTAGTTGCCCACCAACCTATTTCCTCCCAGCGAATCCTGCAGCAGGCGGGTGAGTTTGGAGTCTCTGTAAGGCACGTGTGAAGACCGCTTGCTCCGGTCACCCAAAGCACTGATTACATTCCCCAAAGCAAGCTGAGCCAGAGACAGATGGGAAAAATTAATTCATAACGATTCAGCACTTTTTTGATAATCCATTACCACAAACCCCTGCAGAAATTTATCAAGAGTTCATTTTTCTTGGAAATATCTAAAGCCAGTAAAAAAGACAATAAAAAACAAAACCGCACTAGTATGTCCCCTCGTTTATCAAAATTAATATCCTACATACCCAAAGACCTAATATGCGTAATTTTAAAAAGAAAAATCTAATAAAAAGTACATTGACTTATAAAAACTTTTTTTCAACTAAATAGATCAAACTAAGAAATAAGGGAACCAATGTCCATGGGCAGTTTTTGTAAAAATGTTTTTTTGCTGGATGACTGAAAATTATTTTGTGGAAAGACTTTTTTTTTTCTTAAATTGGCCACTAGATGGTGATCTGTCTCCAGCTATCCACATCTCACTGCTGCTGGAGTAGGGTAGATGGCAGAGAAGCTCACCAGTCCACAGTTGATGGAGATGCCCTCTTTGGCTCGGTCACCCGTCGCTCCGGTTCTCTTCAGTCTCTCAGAGCCAGCCAGGTCCACAAAGTGAAACTTGGCGGTTAGTGTCTCGTATTCATCCATCTCAGAGTTTCCATTGGAGACTCTGTTATCATTCTCATTTTCTAGCTGGAAGACAACAACAATAAAAAAAAAGCGTTAAAAGAGTAGAATCGATTAATCCTACAGCTTTTCCCCGGTTTGCTGGGGCTACAGTTCTGCTGTTTCCAGGTAACCTCCCATATGTATCCCACACTAACATTGTCAGAGGCACAGACGCGGACTTGGCACAAGTGGATGGTGAAGATGGCGTGGGATCGAGAGCTCTGGACATTCATCTGAGTGCTGGCTGTGGTGCGAGACAGAGCCCCCAACTTCAGACACTGCAGCATCTGAGGAGGAGGGGGAAAAACAGCTTGAATCAATTTGTTCATTAATACAGAACAGCTAACAAAAACAAGCACTGTCTGGAATAAAAAAAAAACAACAACAACAATAATGATGATTTATTTATCAATAATAAACAAATAAAGCCCCGCTGCTCTAAACCTTGTGGTGGTTAAGATAATTTATAGAGAACAGCATCTAAAAATCTAATACTTTGAACATACTGTCATTCGACACCGCAATCAGTTTAAAAAGTTAAATGCACTGATTCACAGTAAAGACAGAGTGAATGACTATTTTTCCTAAACTTGTGTTTTACCTCTGCTTCGGAGGACACGGTCCGCGTGGTCACTCCGACGGTGTAGATCCCTCCATTTGCATCTTCATGGATCTTAATGTGAGATTTCTGCTTCATGTCCCGTACGGAGTCAAACAGGTCCAGAACTTCCTCATTGTACAGCTGAAAGGGGAGCAAATGTGACAAAAATGAGTCGTCATAATTGGCGATCGAGACCATTTTTTTTTTCCCGAGACCATTTTTTTCATTTTATTGCATATTTCACACATAGCGGAAACTCGCAGTGCTTTATAAAGTCATTAACGTGAAACGAGTTCTTTGAAAAAAGAAAAACAGTCTAAATGTGTACGTGGACTTGATATGATTAGAAACAAAGAACAGTAAAAGCAGTGCAGTACATTTCAATCAGCTGTACATGAACCTCATAAAGGCCCCCAATGAAGCCCTCAGCTTTCAGACTCCAAACAAGCTAAAGTTATGAGGGGCTCTATGTGGCCCGAGTGCTGCAGCTGAGTGTGCAGTACTAACTGGAAGCATTTCTGTCAGCTCAGGCTGTGTCGACTTACACGACAGCTCCAGAGCAGTGCTCAGGGACTTTGGTAAGGAAAATCATCCGGAAACTATAATTTCCTCTGCATCCCAAAAGGAAATTACACCCTTCCTGATCTATATAAACCAAAACGTCTGCCTGGTGTGTGGTTTCTTCTTCGCATTCCCTTTGCCCCCCCAATCCCAAGTCTCCTCCCGGAATGTGAATGGTGTCAGGGTCTGACGTACCAGTGCAACTGTTGTTCCCGCTAACTCTCCCCGACCCCTTCTAATCCCCCACTGACAGCTGCTGCAGTTCAATTGTCAGCGAGGTGATGGAGCTGCTGTCACAGCTTGTTAAGTGTGTGGCGTTAACAACGTAAGCCTGACCTGCGTCACCCACGGGAGATCGGCTCTGATGGGGGGGGGGGATTCTCACTCGTTTTGGTTGATTTCGTTTAGTTTCTCCCCTCAAAGCAGACCTCAGCGATGAGGTGTGTGCATACCTCCAGGAACTGGGCGTTGATCTTAAACTCGGGCACCGGGCGGCCCTGCTCCCGGGCGACCTCGCGCCGCTCCTCGATGCCCTTGAAAAGATGATGGACGGCACGGGGGATGATGCCCAACTCCTCATCTACTATATTCACGTCGAAGCCAGTTCCCATTGTGTAGGTCTTCCCTGACCCCGTCTGAATGGGGAGGAAAAGGTGTCGTTAGAACGGAACAAATTCTGTGCCTGAATCTATGATGCAAGCATATTACGGAATCACATCCTTTCCATTAAACTCCCCTTTGGGGGTTAAACAGAATGGTCTTGAACTGCAAAGTGACCTTTGTGAGTAAGCTGTAACTTAAATCTGTTTTTTGGATTTCCTGCATTTTACAGTTTTAAGGGTTGCACTCGGAAGCATGTGGAGCATTACTATGGAAAGTGGTGCTCACATTAGGAGAAGCTACCAAATATGTTTGTGACTTTGCAAAGTTCAACTTTAAATCTGCTTAAGAAAGCTGAGCAGGGAGGCCAAGCTTCTACTATTTCTAAAGTAAGAGAAAAATATCTACTTCTAAAAAACTAAAAAACAAACAGCACTTTGAATCTAGAGCTCTTTAAATAACACAGATTTTTTTTTTGCTCTCCACTTTTAATGTCTGCTTAACTGTGCAGCCCAGCCAGGCTGCGTTCTTGTGATGGAGCCGAGTGGGTTGGTCTAAATCTAGATTAGTCCCTGTAAAGCCACAGAGGCAAACAGGCCTGTTCCAGGTCAGACCAACGGCTCTATGAGCTCCCTGCGTGGAGTCAGAAGTAGGCCAGCAGGGAGAGAAGCAGCCATGGAACGGAACAGACAAGAGTCAACATTAAATATGTACTCAATGGCTTTCTGAAAAGGATTCTGTATGCTTTGCTTTTCCTCTGAATCACTATCGTTTTTGTTTGTCAATCTTTTTTTTTCACTGATGAACAAAATTTCTTTAAATTGATCAGATAAATATATTTATTTATTTTTTTTTATTATAAATGTAACTGAAACTCAACTTTTTTTCTTAGACTTAATGTGCTGCAGTGGGTCCCATAAATCTGTGCATCAAATATGATAGAAATGGTATTAAAGGGCTAAAGTTACTGCGTGGGTAAACCATTTACTGGTGTATGTGCAGTTAGACACGGATAATTTCTAGTGAACTTGTGGGATTATGGAGACCTGAGCCCCCTCGTGATCTGACAAGCTGATCGCCAGACTCACAGAAATGAGACATTTCTTCCTCTGCTGTCCACTCAAAGGTTGCCCAAACAATCCCTTCACACTTTTAAACAATGACGAATATACTTTGGATATGTGGAATTACTTTAGCCTAGGGCATCCCAAGTGGAAATCTCTCCCCCTCTCTTTGTTTCTCATCTCCTACATTCTCCTGTAGGGCCCCGGCGCTGCAGCTGCGCCGCCAGCACAAAGACTCGCCTGTCCGTATGCAAACACAGTAGCGTTGTAGCCCTCGAAGCAGCCCTCGATCAGCTTCTCCGTGCAGGTGGCGTAGATGTTGTCCTGCTGCGAGTCCATGTCGAACATGTAGTCGTAGGTGAAGGCCTTGTCTTTGCCCAGGATCACCTGCGGCTCCCCGGGCATCACGTACGTACAGATGTGGCATCCCTCGATTTTCTCCCTGGCCAGCTGAGGACGTATCCTGCAGACGAGAAATAAATCAATAACGCATGAAAAGGGAAGTAAAACTAGTTTTTTTACATGCATATGTATGTGTAAATCCTTTAGTCCCACTGTTCCATAAAAGTAAAATCAGTTCATTCGTCTGTGTGTGTTCTCTGTCATGCATTCAGGGCCAGGAAAATAAAAAGCTTTTTTGATATGACAGATGTATAGCCTACACTGGTTTGAAAAACATTGGTTCAGTGTCTCTGTCTGTTTGAAGGTGCACAGGCTGGATTTTTGCAAAGATGGGCAGAAGGTCAGCCAGCTAAAATCTCCTGGGATTAACGTTTGGTTCGATTTGGATGTGAATCAGGAAAAAAAATAGACAGAGCTGTGAGAGATAAAAAGCGTGTAGAGGCTTGGTGTATTGCTTTTTTTTCCTAGCTTTACAGCATATACTAACACAGAAAAAGGCAGAGCAGTCAGAGCAGTTGTGCTGATGAAAATGGAGAATATCTCCATATTGTGAGGCCTACGCCGTTAATACTGAATTTACAGAGTGATGTGGCAGCCCCAATGTGTTTGGAAGGGATTCCACTTTGGGAGCTGGTGCACGCTGCCCTTACATTCTGCACTCTGAATGAATCGACACGTGCAAAGTACTCGTGGAGTTTAAGAAAAGAAAAACACTGTGCTTGACACTAAACAGACTGACATTTCCTCATCATGCCTGTCTCTGTCATTAAACACGCTCCAGCAGACTGATTATCAATGCCGCCGCCAACAACACATTTCCTCACAGCTGTCAGGCTGTCGCAACGTCACAGTTAATGAACACGGGGGACCCCAATGCAAGGTAATTCAATTCCTGGTAGGGGTGAGTGGCAAATGAATGTGCTCCGCGTCAAAGTTCAGCTCCCTCGGTTCGGCCGGTTTATTTCAGGTTTTCCAGCCCGCTCTCTGATGGCTTCAGCCCACACAAACTCTGGGAAGAAATGCACCTGACAGTGAATTTTCCTCTCTCTGCTGCCCGTGTGGATAAGAGCCTCATTGTGCCTCTAAGTTCAGGGGGGGGGAACAATACAGAGAGCGGGCCACAGAGCGGCCATTGTGTCCGTGTGTGTGACACAGGATCCCAGCGCTGACACCAATGCCTGGGCTGCAGGGTTACACGGCTGGACGGAGGCGAGGGAGGAGAGCCAGGTCCTGTGTGGAGGTCGGGGCGTAACGTCCCCGGATGGCCGCACAGAGGGATGGAAGCTGTGCTTGCAGATGTGGGGGATTCACCTCTTCTACGTTAACCCTTTTTGTTAGCATTACCAGTCATCTAAGGTAATGGCGCCTGCTAGAAGACACTAATTTAATTCATAATCTGGCTGCTCTGCTTCAGATCACGACCCAGGCTTGATTCAATTCTCTTAGGGGAAAAAAAGGTTGCCATTTCCCTACAAATCATTAATAACCTAGAAAGCTTTTCATAATACCCTATAATATAGGAAAGGGCACTGTTTAATGCAATCAGTCTGCTTCACATCAGGAGAAGAAAGCAGTCTGACGTTGGCTAGAGATTTCACATATACTGCAGAAAGGGGCTGTGGCAGATACTACTGAAACCTCAGACTCTCAGTTATCACAAACAAAAAAATAGGGCTTTGGTAGCACATTGGGAGCTGGAGCCACTGTCAGGCACAACAGGGATAAAGGACGCTGCACCACACCCCTTAAAAACAAACACCAGGAAACAAGAGTGTAAAAAACCCTCTGAGTGAACAATAGAGTAAAGAAAAAAAGATCTCCGTCAGAGAATCTGTGTACTTTCATGGCAAATTTAGCATTTCACACCAATTAGAATTCTCCCTCGTCTTAAAGAGGCTTCTAGAAATGTAATACCCCACAGCGACCACAGATGGGTGGGACGAGGAAGCTGTGTGTGTTTGTGTGAGAGAGGACTGCTCTTTGTTTCACATGATTTAACTCACTAATTGGGTGTGTAATCCTGTCTTTCCATCGCTCCCCGAGTGTGTTCACACACGGGAATCTGACAGTGAAATCACCCTCCCTTTCTGTGTCGGGAAACCATTTGCCCTGCAACCAGGATTTGCAGTTAAATTATCCTACTTCCCATTAGTTCCCGTTTAAAAAGCCTATAACAGAAAATAGACCCTAAATTGTCTGATCGTTTTTGTTGCTCCGTGATTTAAAAGTTAGAATAGAAGACCGAAGACGGAGTGGCCTCATTTGTAAACCGAGCCCGACTGTATCAATAAAGGCTCATAAAAAACAGTTGTGGTTTCTTGTCTATTTTAGTGGGTGATGGGTGTAGGGGTCAAAGGTCGGGTGTGGGTCAGGGTCACAGCGGGTCGGCAGCAGAGACACGCTGCTTGGCTAGCGCCGGTTAGCTGCAGATTCTTAGCAAAACTTACACACAAGATCTGACTGGATTATATATCGGGTAACTGGTTCAGGTCTGATAGGTGACGGGGGGGAATGTAGTCCAAAAAGCAAACCAATTCACCCAGCGCCATGAAGCTAGCCGAGTTTCTGCTTCCTGGGCGCATTAAAAATACGTTTGTTCATTTTTTTGTTTTCCTGACCTGCTGGTGTCAACTTATTAAAACAGAGCACGCCCAAACCTGTTATCTCCCCAAAACGCCTTCCTAATGCTCCAATAAATCATTAGAGCTGCTGCACACACCAGGTGTGTGTGGCTGCGTTTCATCTGTAACGGCAAAGGAGTCTTTTGAGGACATTTCCAGACATGCTACAGACAGAAAATGGGGCTATTCCTATGTCTGATGGCTGAGGCCGGGGTGTAATATAAGACTATAAGACTTGTTCATGCACTCGCAGGCAGAAACAAAAGCAGGCGAGCAGAATCTGAAGCGCTGCTCTCGGTGGTGGGGGGGGGGGGGCAGGCCCATCTTTGAGGGGAGACTGGCAGTACAGCAGCGAGGCTGCTTGGGATGAGGTCACCTGATGCTGGGCCGTCCACTCCACTTTAAGTACAATGACTGACTGTCATTAACAGAGGAAAGCCTTTAGCCTGTGTGAAGGACAGGGATAAGCTGTGTGTGTGTGCGTGTGTGTGTGTGTGTGGAATGAACTTAGTAACAAGAGAGAAAGTGTGCGCGTTCTCGCTTGGCTCGGTGCCAGCCCGGTTGGGCCTGTGGCTGCGTGCCTGCTTGTAATTGTAAATACTGGGAGGCAGAAATAGCTGTTTTAATACAGGGGTGATGGCTCCAGGCTCAAACACCTTCCGCATCTCATCTCAGAAAAGCCGTCTTAACAAGGCATAGCGAGCTAGGAGGGTGGGGCTGATCCTTTCATTTAACACTTCAGGAGAGCCCTGAACCAGTTAGGCCTGCTGGAAATGACAGGAACACAAGCTTAATTGCTGTTGCACTTCGTTGCTGTTATTCATCTTAAACTCCTCGTCAACCACTGCCGAATGATGGAAAATACTTAGAGCACCAGAACATTTACACACAGAAAAGAATCCCATTGACATACAAACCAAAAATAAAAACCCATCTCCTCCTTCATATCTTCACATCCAAGGGGGATGAATTAGGAACTTCAACTCCTTTTTTTCTTTCTTTCCTCTCGTTACAGGTTCTCTTCTGCTGAGAACGTGACAAAACCAGGCGCTTCTCTCCGAGCCAACATGGCAGAGAAAGCTGCGTCTTATAGAAGAACCAGAATGAGACCCGTTTGCTTTTGCTCTGGCAGCCCTGGTTTTGGGGTTCTCCTTGGTGTGGTTAGCTTACCGCCACCGTGACCTCCCAGAAGCTGATGTGTGGCGTGACTGTGCGGGTGAGTGCTGGACTTATGGTGGGATTAAAAAAAAACAAAAAACAAACAAACAACTGGCCAAGTGAAAAGTGTCTTTCATCATCCATCTGGTGCATCTGTCACGCTACAATACTGTGTTGGCTCTCTGTTCACTGATGGGATTGAGCCGTCCGCCTTTGCTCATTTCCTCCATTCCTTCACAATTGCTAATAAAAATACACCCTCTTCCTCCTCTGCTACAGAGATGTAGTTTCCCTCCTCATCCTTAAAGAGCTGAAACCCTGTCCTCCCTGTTGTGTTGTGGTGTTGTGGTCCGTCAAATTTCCACAATCTTGGTGCAGGTGAGGAGGTGTGGCCTATGCTACAATGGTTGGGACTTTCTAGGACATTAGCTTCCACTAAAACCTAATTTTTCAACCATCTACGACGTAAGAAAAAGAGGGACATTTAAAAAAACTAAACATTTAACATGTTGACCTTTCTTTATTCAGGCATTAAAAACCTATAGGATGCGGAGTCAAAAAAGTGGACAAAATAGAAGCAAATAGAGTTAATGGGTTAGGGGCCAGAGAGGAAAGGATAAATGAATTCACAAAAATAATCAGTGCTAATGAAAGAAACGCATACAGTTGTGCATTCTGCCAGCTTCCACTGCACTCCAGACCAGCAACAGGCCAAGAAAACCAGAAGATTAAAAACCAGCCCTGCGAGGTGAGCCAGTGCCCCCCCAGTGCCACGTCGGCATGTGCCTCTGTGTGCCTCTGTGTGCAGTCCTGCAACCCTTGGCACCGTGCGTGACAGGAAGGATGGGGTTGCCATGGCAACCAGTAATGGAAGCAAAGAATTAAAGTCATAATCCGATCCCAGCGGGATGTAATGCTGGCCTGGCCGGCCGCCTAAAGGATGCCAAGGGGGGGGGGGGCATCGGATGGGCAAACGCACTAAGCGCCCTGACGCCCGTCAGAGGCGGGGGAGGAGCCTTTTTTACCGTCGACCCCGCCAACTAGAGAGGAAAACATATTTCTCTGTGCCTTCCTTATTGACGTTCAAGCTGTACCCTCAAAAAGAAAATAATAAAAGCACTCTTTCAAATGCACAGAATAAACCTAAAACAGGAGAAGAGCTGCTAATGCAAATAGGGATGTAAATGAGCTCCCCTCTGTATGAAATTGGCCCAGAAAAATTCAATTGACACAAAACTGGACAGAGAACTTGTCTCTCTGTTGTTTCACTTTTTTGCATGTT